CTTTATTTGTGTTATTTAAGCTCATGTACTCAAAAATACAGATGTGCTCTGACTACAGGTTAGTTTGGACCAGGTATCCTACTTTGGGACTCCAGGGAAGAAAGCACAAGCTTCCGCTCTGAGTGCTCTGCTGCTCAGCTTGTCTGGTCTACAAGCATCAATACAAGTTATTTGGCTAGGTTAAGGAGGAGGCAATCAGAGGAGGAGGGAGGGAGGGAGGGTGTCTTTCTTTCCGCAAGGCAACGACACCCTCCCTCCTCACTGGCCTGGGTAGCCCAGTGCAGCAAGTCAGTTTAGTCGCTCCCTGCCGCCATCACCAACTTGCGAGGCAGCTAGTTACTGCATCTAATATGAGTCTTTTTCTTCTCGGATGTGCTGCATCACTAATTAGGCAAACCAAAAATGAAGATGGTGATCTACAAATGTGCGAATACATTTGATGTGCACCAAAAGATCAACAAGCGCATACATATTACTTTTCTTGTAAACCTATTACATTTTTATGTGAAATGTCATATATGTATTTACAGATTTAAGTTATGCATGTTCCAAAAATCGCTCTGTATTTTTGTGGCCATTCCTTAACACAACAAAATAAAAAAACACATGTTTTTTGATAGTGAAATATTTATGGATCATGGGTGGTCCTAGTGTGTAGTTTTGGATTGTCTTCCGTGGGCTACAAGTATTAAAGTCCAATCAAAGACCTCCATAATGCTGCTTTAAATGCAGCATAACTTTGACTGTGTGTGATGTATCGTCTCCAAGGTTTGACTCTGGTGTCGGCACCCCATCTAGCCAGATCCTTCCACCACCTTTTCCCGCTCGCAGCCTTTACAGAGAGTCCTGTGGATGGGCTCCAAGACGACAGGTGGCTCTGACACACAAACACACTCGCCTCACATGCTAAAACTGTGTCTCTCTGTATCTTAACCTGATCTCATTTGGTTTCAGGGTCTGTCAAGCTTGTCAAGGGGAGCTGAAAGATAAAACTGTAAGTACAATAGCTTAATATAATGGCATATTCGGATATAGTTCTAATGAAGATTGTTTAAATTGGATGCAATATTAGTATAAAAAAAGATACTTGATATCTCTTTGCCAACAGAAAAAGAAAAGAAGTCGTAAGCATATAAAGTAGACATTTTCTTAATTTACAAATTGCACACCGTACTGATGGTGGAACATATACAAATACTTTTTAAATATTGTTACAATAGTGCTATCTTCCTAATCAAACATTGACTTTAAAAGTACTCTCATTCTCTACAACAAATGACAGGACTTTCTCAAACTAATCCCAAAATAGTGTTTCAGGTTACTGGACAATTGAAATACAACTAAAACTAAAATGCAATATCCAAAACACATGTTATTCTTTAAAAACATATCTATAAAGCATATATATATATATACATACTAACTAAGCACTTGCATACTAACTAAGCACTTAGATACTAACTAAGCACTTAGATACTAACTAAGCACTTACATACTAACTAAGCACTTAGATACTAACTAAGCACTTACATACTAACAAAGCACTTAGATACTAACTAAGCACTTAGATACTAACTAAGCACTTACATACTAACTAAGCACTTACATACTAACTAAGCACTTAGATACTAACTAAGCACTTAGATACTAACTAAGCACTTACATACTAACTAAGCACTTACATACTAACTAAGCACTTAGATACTAACTAAGCACTTACATACTAACAAAGCACTTATATACTAACTAAGCACTTAGATACTAACTAAGCACTTAGATACTAACTAAGCACTTAGATACTAACTAAGCACTTAGATACTAACAAAGCACTTAGATACTAACAAAGCACTTAGATACTAACTAAGCACTTAGATACTAACTAAGCACTTAGATACTAACTAAGCACTTACATACTAACTAAGCACTTACATACTAACTAAGCACTTAGATACTAACTAAGCACTTAGATACTAACTAAGCACTTACATACTAACTAAGCACTTAGATACTAACTAAGCACTTATATACTAATAAAGGACTGGCTTATCTAAAGCCAGTTGAGTAGCACTTGAAATGTTTCGGCTCTATGAAACCTGATGTACTTATATGATTCTGTTTTCTTCAAGTCTGTATCTTCCTGGTCGAATGCACTTATTGTAAGTCGCTTTGGATAAAAGCGTCAGCTAAATGCAATGTAATGTTATAAATTGCATGCTTAATGTCTTCCTCACTTCAAACCTTCTAGCCGTGTAAACAACAGATAGAATTCTTTAAAAAACTGAAGAATTCTCATGGATGTCCAGTGGACTCCAGGCTTCACACATCATATATGCAACTGGATGAATACAAACCACTTTTGACTTGTTCCAAGCATACATTGGCATTCCTTTTAGTGGAGTTTGGTCCTAAAGCGCCTTTTCGACAGCTTCTGTAGAGCCTCTTCTTTTTCAAAGATTTGATTACCCGTCACAGAAAGTACCGTTTAGCTCAGGGGTGGGCAAACTTTTTGGCTCGGGGGCCACTATGAGTTTTAAATTTGACAGACGGGCCGGGCCAGTAGCAGATCGATAAAAAAATATTTAGCTGTCCACTCCTCATTATACACTCGGCACTCAATATTGACTTTTCTTTTCTTTGGTCCACTCATTGTTACAGATGCGGGTTCAAAGGTGAATTATTGCGTCATTGCGTCATCGTTTGCGTCATGACGTAACCGTTTACGTGCCTTCTTATGACCCACACAGCGTTTTACGTCGCTGATTTTCTCCGCAACACCGCTCACAACAACATCAATAGAGGACTGGGTCGGGTAGTTTTTAATTATACGAAGCCAGATTAAATTAAAGAACTACTTCTCCAACCTTGTACCTTTCTCCAGAGTGCTGTGGTGCATTGTTTATTAATGTGGTTCAGCTGCATTACCGCCCGCTGCAGTGCTGCTCGTCTACCGGAGTTTATTCTCCCGTTAACTCGCGGCAGCGGCCGCTGTAAAGTTTTCACTGTCCGACTGTCACACAAGCAGCTGATAAATATCCCCCATCCCCATAAGTGAATGTGTTTTAGTATGAACGCTGTTTGGCATCACAACGCTGTTATGAAAGTTTCTCTGGCATTCTACAGGTGATGTTAGCATAGCAACCAAAGCTAATCAGACTATCTTGACTACTTGTTGCTATCATATTGTGGCATAAGCCGTTTTCTACACGCATATTTTACCGGCGTAGTTTTCGTTATGATTTTACTTGTGATGGCCACATCTAGCCCATGTATTGATTCCATCCGATAGCTGCAATAATATAAAACAAAAGGAGAACGTCTGCCCCTTCACAATGGTCAATAACAGTGAACGGATGGTTATTAAAGTAAGGTCAAATAAACAGAATCACACTAAGCCTGGTTAGTGTTGCCTGACTTTATATAAGTGTTTTTTATAAGTGTGTGGTCGCGTTCTAGTCACTTTGCTCAGCGCTACTGCTTGTTACAACTTGTATTCGCCGTACTCGCCATGAACTGTTATTGCTCAGGTTAATCTTGACCCCCTCCAATGTAAGCGTGACGTATTTGGTTCTTGGATCTTGCCGGGTTGCCAAGTGGGGCCAGCTGAGAAAATAGACCAGACTCCAGCAAAGGTAAATTGTGTCTAGAGTGCGCCATCTAGTGGGATCAACTGAAATGCCGGGTATTGCAGGAAAAAGGCAAAATGAATGCGGTCTTTACTATAATTTGGACAATTTTGTACCAATATTCGGCGGGCCGGATTCAAAAGCCCAACGGGCCGTATATGGCCCGCGGGCCTTAGTTTGCCCATGCCTGGTTTAGCTTGTATAAAACATTTGTTATACACCCGATCTTCTTCAGTTACAGAGGGGTACTTTGTAACTGATTAGACCATTGGAAAAACAACAAATTATACACAGTATATCCACATTGTTTTTTGGAATACAATTACAAATGTTATACCTTTTTAAGTACAGTAGAGGGATGAAATGCTGGCGCTGCAGTTCATCATCTGTGCCTTGTCCACCCTAATCTTTATCACGTCCATTATAACAAAAGTTCCAGATACAAAAGGCATGCCTTACAAACCAGAAATTTGGTATAGACATTTTACAAGTCCCCAAACTATGTGGAACTACAATATACAATGGTTAACACTTAATATTAAGTGTGTACTTGCATTCATTTGATCATTGTTAGTTAAATCCCTTTATCCATCTTTATTGATCTGCTCTCTCTCCCTATGTCTCAAGGCATTCACCTGTCCATCGTGTCGCAGTGTATTCTGTGTGGAGTGTGACCTCTTCATCCATGACTCGCTACACTGCTGCCCCTGCTGTCTTCACAGTCAGAGCCCCCCCTGATGCTGAGGGGCTGACTGTCCCACACAGACTGAAATAAACTCATAGGTCATGTGCCCTTATTGGCTCATCACATCGATCATATTGGTATCGTCCACCTCTGGCAGAGTAACATTGAACACAGGCTATGGATCATCCACATGGTTATAAGGTTCAAAGGTTTTGAAGATATGCAAAAATGAATGTTTGGTTTGGTTGATCCTTTCATTTTGAAGGTGGAAGCAGTTTGTTGCTATATAGACCATGCTGGCCAAAGAGCTTCTCCTTTTTTAGCGTGTCTGTTACTGCTGTTAAATGGCACATTGCATTATTTTTATAAGAAACAGTTTGATCGAATTGTTTATACGTTTGGTAGCATGCTACAGTTCTGTTTGTGACACGGTAGTTGGAATTTGACTTAGAACTTGTACTTATTATTTTTGTACTATAAAAGCACCATATAAATGCAGTCCATATGCCACCAATGTTGACTCTCCATATTTAAATGTGTACTTTTGGACCAAATAAATAAAAAATAATCACAACTCCCTCACCAAAATGGTATTCCTAGCATTATGGAAACGCCATCTACTTCATGATTTCCAACAGTGTTCGGGTTATTCCATAAGATGGCAGTGATGTAACGAAACGACTGTCCGCTGCAGTAAAACTCATAGAAGAAGAAGAAGAATTCCGGCGGTTTCTTTGAGTGCATTCTGACCATCCTGAGCTGATTCTTACACCTGACTGCAGGAAGCATTCTCAGATCTACAGAGAGACACTCGGAGCTCTGTCCCGGCCCTTCCAATGTCCCGCATGCTGAACGCTATCGTGGCGGTGTGTCCTGACCTGGGCATCGGGAAGGACGGGCAATTGCCCTGGCATCCAGTTAGACTCAAGTAAGTCCCCTGATGGACGGAGGAGCCCGCAGTAATACACTACTGTGGGGGATAAAGCTGGAGTTGAGCAGCACAGTGTGACAGGTAGCCTGTGTGTTAGCTTACATTAACAACTTGATGTTCTTCTTTTATAGTAACGAATTCAAACATTTCCGTAAGATGACAGCGACGCCCTCTGTGGAAGGTAAACTGTTCAGCATGTTCTGTGGGGAATCAAAGTGAATATGTTGAGTTACATGATGTTCCTTACAACCACACATTCTATGTATAAAGGCATGTGGGTTATTCCAGAGTCGGAGAACATTTAGCAAAATGAACCCTTTATTTTCAAATTTTCTGTGATGGTTTTTAAGAAAAACAGCAAGTAAACCATCACATTGATTTGGACAGCTCAGGCTTCAATGGTACATTTGATTAGATATTTTGTTGTTATTTAAACGTTCCCAATGGTGTGCTAGAACTTTGAAATCAATAGAAATAATTTTTTTACAATCAATTTTACTAAACAAAATAAATTTCAGAAAATGCAACCCTGTAACCTTAATTACTCTAATTATAGTAGCAGGGTTGCTAATCAATACTTATATTTGCCTTTACATCAGGGATTATTGCTAGCTGCAGAATGTACTGCTACTTTAAAAGGCACGGACAATATATTTAACTAAAGAAAGATGTCTGAAATGTTTTTTTGTCTTATTCTGATTATATGAGTAACGGGTGCATTAGTTAGAGTGCCACACTAGTTCAAGACTGAAAAAATATGAAAAACACCAGAGAGGACTGACCTTTGGTCGACCCATGGCAGCAGCACCTCTGTCATGTGACTGCAGCCTTTTCACTCCCTCTGCCAAGAGTAATGGGTTTAGGTAACAGAGTTGTGAACATGTTGAGGGACACACCTTCAGTGTAAAATGTCTGGTATTTAAAATATGTTTATGATATACATACAGCTCTGGAAAAAATTAAGAGACCACTTCAAATGTTTCTTCAATCTCTTCATGTATGGCAGCCATTACATTCCAGTGTCGTTCATAGCGACGTCGCTTTTTGATCCTTCGATGTCGGCTCTTCCTATCATTGTGAAGCAGAATTCTCCAACACAGAGAAAGTTGTCAGTTTATATAAACAAATTCATTACAAATAATTTGACTCAAACAGAAACCTATAAATAGTAAAACCAGATAAACTAATAATGATGCAGTGGTCTCTTCATTTTTTTCAGAGCTGTATATCAACAAGATAATAGAAAAAAAAGGCTATTTTAATTTGACAGGCAAGTTGGTCTACAAGAAGGAGGAACATTTTAATTAATATGTTGAAAACAATTTTTCTACAACTGTATTTGCACTTTGTCTAAGTTCAAGTATATTTAACACAAGTGCATGTTTTTGCGTTTTGGACATGGAATATTTGAAATTTCATAGGTGGGACGGAAAACGTCCTTCAATTTCTGGAATGACCCATTTAACAGGCTCCGCTTTTCAACCCTTTCCCCACTGCTGGTTCAAACGCACATGTGTTAATTTGACAGGTTAAGCACTATAGCATTTCATTTGTGATCATTCACAGCTACACTGTGCCCGTGTACAACACAATGCATCATCCATACTCTGTTAGTGGATGACATATGAGAATGACCCCAAATCTCAAATGAGCACACTTTTATTAACTGTGCTGTCTCTTGATGTATATGGTTTAGCTATTACAGATGACTAAAGTACCCAAGAACACCGGCCAATCGGACTCCAGTATTAGGCAAATGTCGATGGCTTATAAAACAGGATATGATAGACAAGGGTCCACACACAGTGTTGAAATGTATGAAAACAAGTTAATCTAGAGATCTAATTCAGATCATTAAGACCACTGGATAATAATGGACAAGCTGATGGCGCTAGCCAGGAGTCAGACGGAATATCTGGAGTGTAGTTTAATGTGCTTTAAGGAAACATAGTCTGACCCATGCACCAGTATTAACTGACAATGTTTCCTTGGATGGCTTCTGGAATGTTTAGGCCGACATGTCTCCATCATGAGCCTGAGTCTTCAGAGACCAACGCGATTGAGTTACAGTAGCACATGTTGTATGCATCGGATTGCTTTTTTTCCCTAGGTAATGCAGAATATCTGATCAAGAATAATTTTATTTCATTTTGAATAAGGGAACATTGTATATTCTTTTTTTCTCTGTTTCCCTAATTAGCTCCTAAATATTTGCAAGTTGCATACCTAAATATATATATTCCATATCCTTGATATGAAACGGCAGCTTTGATTTCACTTGTTAGATATATGGTCAAACTAGTTTGGCACTCTGCTTTACTAGTTAAATAAAACATTACACTAGTCACTCTTTTCAGCAACTAGTGGCACTTTTGTCCGACTAGTTAGCACACAAGCCTTACTAGTTACGCCAGGAGCAGCACTTGTAGCACCAAAGTCCCAACTTGTAAGCTTTTTGATGAACTAGTGCAAGGCCGTATTCATGGAGTCAACATTGGGGGGGACCAACAATTCAATCAAAATTTGAATACAAATTTCCTGCCATTCTAAAGGAAAATATATAAAAATTCACTAACACATGGGATACTTTAAAACCTGTTAAACCCCATGCCCCTGCCCGTGGGGGCAAAAAACAACAATATTCACGAAACTGTCTCAGGCATGGGCGTAGGAAGCATCCTCAATGTGGGTGGGACAATTTGACGGGGGGTGTGGGCAGGTGGGGGACCTAACCTCCTCTAGGGGGGTCCGGGGGCATGCTCCCCCAGGACGATTTTTTTTTTAAATGTTGAAGTTAAAAGCATCAATCTGGTGCACTTTGAGAGCAAAATTAGGGACTAAATCTATGGATACATCTCTCAACATCATATGAAACAGAACTGAACAGATTTACTTTTTCTTTATGCATATTTTACAAATCACTCCTTTTAAACTGTAGTATGAGTTGGAATTATTTCATACCTGTTATTCTCTTATTTTGTATGACTATAATGATCATATAAAGGTGTGCCTTGGAAATACTTGTTTTGCATCAGTCTTGATAGACGGTACTTATATGTTATAGTTTGGATTCCTAAAGCTTTTAGTCTACTATCTCATCATTCAAGGGTGGTTTTCACTATAAGTAATGGTTTATTTTTTGGACGGACACTATCATTTACACTTTTTTACTATGTTCAATATGAATTTACTTTAAAAACATCTATATTGATTCTGACTTTTTCTACATCCAACTCACAGGTTTATCATTGCTTTGAGAAAAAAGATTATTCATTTACCCTTTTTAGAAGTGAAGATATAGTCAATTGTTCTGGGAATGTCATTTTCGAGCCTGAGACCTGAAAAACAGGCTTGGGGCTTAACTGGCTAAAATGTTTTACCATAATGTCTAATTGTGCATTGTATTACATCGCCCTATTTGATCTAGTTTAGCTTTTCTTGTTTCGTTGTTTGTAATGGCAGAGATTAGGGATGAATAAAGTATAACCATAATCATATTAAAGCATTTCAATCCATAGAAAGGTCTGTGCCACGCAATTTCAGTAGAAACAGGAACACTTTATTGCCCTTTTGTTTTGTTGAAATACTATTTCATAATAATTGTAGAGTATTTATTTAATTAATTCTGGCACCTTTGGTATTCCATAGATGTCACACATCACAGTTTTAAATCTTTCCACACTCTACAAATGACAAAATAAAATAGAAATAATCCACATGAATAAATATGTATTGGATTACATCCAAAATGACACCGTCATTTCCACATAGCTGACACTAGCCCGCCAAACCCTGGCTAGCAACTGAAAACCAGCTAGCCGACAGCTAGTTAGCTACTATTCCTGAAAAGTTCGGTTTTAACATCAGAACTACAAGTTACTTACACAAAGAAGCTAAACTGGAGGGTTCATTAACATTACCATTACGAAATACAATAATATAGATTACTTTAAGGCTAACCAGAAAAGATACCAGAACTGATGGAGGGCAAATTAAAACATGACTGACCTGCTTGGAGCATCAAGCTAACTGAAGCTGGACTCAGATGTGCGACAGCGAAATACACCCCCGGGTACAAAATAAAGGTATGCATAAACAAACAAGGCGGAACCAATTTACATATGAAAAGATTATATCATTTTGGTGAAGTTCACAATAACAGAAAATAAAATGTTCAAGTATACAAATAGCCAAAATAAAAAAGTCATAGAATAGCAATTTTATTTTAATAATCAAAAAAAAAAAAAAGTTTTTGTTATTTATTGGGGGGGACATTTTGAGTGTATCTGAATATTGGGGGGGATGTGTCCCCCCCAATGTATATGGTGAATTCGGCCCTGAACTAGTGACCCTCTGACCGTACTAGTGACGCTAAAAGTCTTACAAGTTAGCTAGTGCGCTGCAAAAGCTCTGACATGTTAGTTACAAAAAAGAAGCAGAACTAGTTAACTAGTGGCACCCAGAATCACTCACTAGTTAACTACAGGGTTCTTACGGTCATTAAAAACCTGGAAAAGTCATGGAAATTCAAAATGCTAATTCCAGGCCCTGGAAAAGTTATGGAAAACAATATTTTTCCCAAAGTTTTGGAAAAGTCATGGAAATGTAACTAAAGTTGCATCAAATATAATTTATATTTGATCTAATCGCCGAAATAGTAATACTATAATGATAATACATACTGTATCGTATAGTAATGAAACATAAAATGGCATTTAACTGTCGAGGTGTTTTGCTGGTGAGAGATTTGAGTTGCTTTAGCGTGTAGAAGCTAGTAAGCCTATTTGATTTGTTTTAGATAGGCACAACATGTTTCATATGCAGACCTTATTTTCCTGTTCCATGTTAAAATAAACCATTTTCAGTGGTACCGCTGAGAAAGAGTACTTTTTTTGGTCATGGAAAATTTGGTAAAGGTCGTGGAGAAGTCATTGAAAATCATTGGTGAAAAAGTGTATGAACCCTGTAACTAGTAAAGGCAAAAGGTTCACTAGTTAACTAGTTGACGCCTCTTTTGACCTTACTAGTTAACTAGTGGGGCTCAAAATGTTAACTAGTGAACCCTTTGCCCTTTACTAGTTAACTAGTGAGATACATTTAAATTCAACTAGTGAACTAGTGAGTCTTAAAATGTTCACTAGTAGTACTAGTGGATCCCAAATGTGCACTAGTTGCACAGAA